GCTTTTCTTTTGTTGATTGCATGATATGGTACCCGTCTTGACGTTCTTGAGAAAGGAACCATATCATTATGTGAGTCCAGGCAGTTGATGTAATGTTTGTGCATGTTATCTTGGTCATATGACTGCACTGTGGGGTCTAAGCCATAGCATAAATCTGTGGCAAATGCCAGTGCAAACAAACCACAGTCATTTGACTTTGTTTGCTTTTGCTCTCTTTTGTTAGAAAAAGTGACTGTAGAACAGTATACAACAGCATGCGACATGAATGATCAATGGGAACTGTGCTTACGTTTTGATATAAGCTGTCACACACCTTGACAGTTCTAGGACTAGTAGCTATTGTACTCAGGCAAACCCAGTGTGAAGAAATTCTTCAAATTCTTCTTGACGGGTTCCTTCTGCTAACTTTCTTTTTTCTTTTCGTGCCATGAGAAATTTCCAAGTGCATGACCCCATGCAACCTCTCTTTACCTAGCACATATTACTCAAGACCTAAAACTTATTCGTGGACAACGAAACACTCGTATTGAAGGGCTCGTAATGAGGGCTTGCTCTCACACTAGTCTAAGTTTGGAGCTGGTGCAGAACACTGTTATATTTTGAGAAGCCTGAAAACGTTCCTGTGATCTTCTCACACTTACAAGCATATGAGATATTATTGTTTCATTAAATCAATGCAGACGTGACCAGGAAACATATGTTACAATCATTTATTGTAATGTGGTATGTCAAGTTAGTTTTCACATGCTGTGCGACTTTTTATGCCGCGACTAAAACTCATGGCAAATTTAGCATAACAAAAGGTAACTAAACAGGTTTACAATGCAAAAATGCAGCTATCTTTCATGTATAGGGGTTCATTACTATTCCTACCATTCAGTAAAAGAAAAAAAAATAACACTTAATTTTAGTCACGTGCGTTATCGTCGTGGGGATGAATGAGCCAACGCTTGAGTGTCTTTGTTCAAAATTTGTGCAACATGCCCTGACATCCGTTCTCTGTTTTAGAATTTGAGGTCATTTTCCGCCTTTCTGTGTCTTAGGATTTGGGGTCTTCTTCCGCCGTTCCATGTTTTAGGATTTGGGGTCATTTTCCGCCATTCCACCACAAAAAAGTTGATCGTGAATAAAGAGTAGCAATTTTGTTGAAAAAAGATTGAAATCTAGTGAAAGGCAC